AAAGGCTGTGATTGGTAGACAGAACAGTAGGCCTTCTAATCTACGTGCCAGGAAGTCTGAGTGCCCCGGCCTTGATCAGATTAGCGCTCTTCAGCTGCAGTGCCTGTGCTAACTGCTTGCATAGAGATGTGCTCAATTCAATTTGCAGCAATTAGTGTGGCAGAGGAAAATACACAAGAGTCATGCATTAAAGCAGAATCTTGGAAAGAAATAGGCATTACCCATATTTTCCCATTATGCAATTTTAAAATGATAAGAAGGAAAACAGACCTACTGGAGAGAAGAGGCATGCATGAACCAGCACAGCAAGCCCTGGAAGGGAAAAGGTCAATACTGGAGGAAGAAAGTCTGTCTCAGCCGAAAGGGTTTTCTGTCCTGTATTTCCTTCCTGATCTCCAGACATCTGTTAGGAGCGCAGTCCCAGGGCAGCCTTTGGTCAGTGCTGCAGTGAATCTCCTAGGCCTGTGTTTTAGCATGGAGCCTTCTAAACCAGTCCACCAATGGAGTGGTATGAGATTGTTCCACACAGACAAATTACATGTCCTTGGGCCTTTGATTATGATCCTGAGATTCGGATTGCATCATAACTACTTTCTTACAATTTTGCAAAGTTGAGTTGAGTGAATTTTGAAGGAAAATAGAGCCACACTTATACTTAAATATAAAAGTTTTAAAAATCCAAACTAAATTAGTCACTATTTTTACTGCTTGAAGGACCCCAGGATGATTGAATACTTGCACTGGTTCTGAATATCAGTCACTAGCATATCATTTTATATCAAGCTGTAAATTCATGATTAGCCATAGTTCAATTTCATTGTCAGGTTTCAAAGATGCAAACTATATTGCTTGCATAAAGGAATTGCTTGTACCACTTCTTGAAACATTCTATTTTGCTGATTTTAAATCATTTTGATGTTTAAGATAAATTTCAAAAAGTATTTCTATTATAGAAATATCTAAAACTGTGTAACTTTTTTTGTGTGTTCCTAAGGCCAGCATTAATCCTTTTTCTTACAGGGTTTCATAGGGGAAAAAAATGATATGCCTGTTTTTCTTCTGGGGCCACAGTCAATCCCAGTGCTTTGTGTTCCCTGTGAGAAAGAAAATTAGGCAAAGGAACTGGCAAAATGTGCTCTGATTTTTTTCTAACGATCATTCAGAAATACCTGATGATGCCAGGTATTTCTTGACTGACTTCGATGAGCAGGGCTTACAGCTGGGCTATGACTCAGGCCAGTTGTCCAGAAAGAAGACTGAGAATGTTGCCCAGTGTCTTGCTAAGGGCATTATACCGACCTAACTGCTGACACTCACTTGACCTAAATGGACAGGAAAAGGTAGCAAGACTTCACTTGCTGGGTCACTAATAGATTCACTTATCATCATAGTTTTTTATAAACCTGGATTTGTAACTCAAGAAGTTCACTGATATTGAACTTTCTAGTTAATATCAAGAGGCCAAGATGGTTATCTTATTTAATTATTTAAAATGAAATGTCTGAGTTGCTAACCCTGTGATATGCTGTTTAAAAGTATCTGAAATAAAAACTCCTCTTAGCATGAACCTGGAAAAGAAACAATTGAGTAGGGGTAGGGGACCAAGCAGGGAATTGGGGTTCACATTGAGATGAAGTAGGAAAAGTATCTGTATTTTGTGTCTTTATCCTATATACCTGCTCTAGAAATGCTGATTCTCGGTGCAGAATGAATAAATCCCTTAGTTCTATTGATCTGGTATAATAGGTAGCACACCTGTGATGCATGGATGTGATAACTTACCATATATGATCACATCTGGGGTATAACCCATCAAATTCTTTTTATGTCCAGAAAGTACTGGGGCTACATGTATACCTGTATCATATTCTTGATACATATTGTCTCCCCACCCTCATTCTCTCTGGCTGTAGTCTTCTCTTTATTTGTAACTGTTTCCCTTCTGCCTGGTTCCATGTACCTTTCTTTCCCCTCCCCACATCCCTATTTCCGCTCTTCCTGAACCCTAAACGTACTTTTCAGGTCTGAGTTGAGATATCTCTGGAATCCTTCTCCTATCCCTACAAGGCCTCCAGAACATATCAGTGCCTTTTCTTATAGTTCTTAGCCCTCTAAGGTCTCTATCACAGCATTTGGCAGATGTGTTGGTCGTTGTCTTAAAAGCAAGATAAATCCCCTGAGTACAGGCACTATGTCTTGTTCACTGCTGAGTGCCTTGAACATCATAATTACTGTGCAATATTTATTGAATAATTGAATGAGTGGATATATTTCTTGGAATGCATTCTATCTGTTAGTTAGCTGAACTATTTTGCTCTTAGAGAAAATTAGTGACATTTCTAACCATCCTTCATATACCGTCAATCTTTCCTCTATCTTACTTAAGAATGAATCTTCAGAAAAATTCACTCCTCCATCCTTAGACATTTATACAAGGACATGTTTTAGAATGCAGACAAAGTTTTAGCCCATCAAAGCTACTATATAACAAAATTCTTTAGAGCGGATGGTTTGTAAACAGCAGAGATTTGTTTCTTACACTTCTGAGGTCAAGAAGCTTAAGATCATGAACTAGCAAATTTGATAGCTGTGGGGAGGGGAAAGGGGCTGCTTTCTGATAGAGATAGCGCTTTCATACTATGCTCCAAGATGGCATAGGGGGAGACAGCACTGCCAGACCTCACTCATTTCTAAGGGCACTAATTCTACTCAAATGATCTACCCTTAGAAATTTGAATCGTCTAAATACTTTGTGTACAGGTGTGAAAATGAAGGAAAGGAAGCTTTCTGAGATTGGAGGAGGGGCATGAAGGGGAATGGTGGAGTGGTTGGTCTGATCTAGTCCGATTGTGCACATATACGGACTTGCCATAGTGAAACCCTCTTGTGCAACTAATTGATGCTGATAAAAATATGAGAAAAAAGTTGATCACTTGCCAGTGGTTCCACACCAATGTCATTGTGATTGGTACATTGGTGGTTAGGTTTTAACATCTGAAGTGTGGGAGCACAGAAACATTTAGCTCATATCAGGCACCAAATCCTGAATGATACCCAAATGAGTCTACACAAATGCCCGACCTAAACTAAAGTTTGAGACTTCATGATAAATCAGTATAGAAAGGAAATTCCAGTGGGTGAAGCACTGCCTCTCCAAAGGGTGCTGGTGCCCAGAACAACTATATATTTAATAGTTAATTAGAATAATTCTGTAAGGCTGTACAAGCTGACCCTACTCAACCCAAGAAGTGCCATTTGCACAGACTGAAGGCATGAGCAGTGCCACCTGCAGAGTGCCACAAAGCAGTTGGAAAGCCCTGGTCTGGCTAAGTGCCTATGGGAAAATCTGTATTTGATTGGATTGCTTTGTTTGGTAAGCTGTGAAGTAAATAATTTTATCCTCTTCTAGGGAGAATGAAGAGTTGCAAAGAAAATTATATTTGGTCCTCCTTTTCCACCATCTTTGTAACAATTCCCCTCCTTTAACAAGACTACAGAAAGTCATACTCCTATGTTTCAGGTGCACTGCAAAAAGGAGAACCCAGTTACATTCCTGTGGGCTGATGGACACATCATGAAATCTACATTTAGTGCAAAATGCAGAGAAATGTGTAAATGATAATCAAAGTGCTCAGCCTATTGGGTCATACTGAATCATCATTCTTTGTCCTATTATACTTAACTATTAAGTGTTCAGGAAGCACAGTTTAAGAATTATTTCAATTGAAATTTGAGAAAGCAAACTACTTAACCTAATGATAAATTGGAAAAAAATTGTAGCCTTGTTCAAGATCAATTAATAATCATCCCTTGAATATTATAATCTAGTTTCTCATTTTATTTGGTCTGAAGAATAACGAATGTCCAAAATACAAAAAGATTCGGAAGGATATTCTATGGCTTATCCTTTGAAGAGATGATGAGTCTGTTTCTTGCCAATGTTTTAAATAAATGAGTGGTAAAATAAAATATTTGGAATTTTTTCAACAATATAGTTTTTGTGTACCTTATAACGATTATCATTGAGTTCTAAGATTTATTTTTTTATTTTATCGTATTTGTTTATTTCTTTTCTTTACCTTCTAGCTCCTAGGTTGGCAATGTTTTACAGATTTTAAATTCGGGTTTTTAAATTTTTATTTTATTGTAAAGATGCTGTACAGAGGGGTTATAGTTACATGAGTGAGGTAATGAATACATTTCTTGAGAATTTACAGCTTCCTGGTACAGTATTTAAAGAAAAAACAAAAACAAATGAAGATACCTTAATAACTAAATATGTTCTATGTACCTCATTTGGATACTCCTTCAAACAAACAAAATTCTAACATGTTTGAGAGGACTGGAAATTTGAAACAGTATGTTTATTGATATTAAAAATTACTACTACTTATAGATATGATATTGTCATTATGGTTATGATTTTAAATATCTGTTATCTTTTAGACATACTTTCTTAAATAATTAGAAATGAAAATACATGGTTATCTAATGTTTGCTTCAAAATAATAATTAGGGGCACTGTGGCTCCAAGTGGTAGAGTGCTAGAACAGCACCCAGACCCTAAGTTCAAGCTTCATGACCAACGAAAAAAACTAATTAATCAATAATGATAGTTGCAGTAATTAATCAGATAAAAAGATTGGCCATAAATTAATAATTATCGAAACTGTTTAACAAGTTGCATTGGGGTGTTCTATTGCATAATATCTACTTGGCTTGTGTTTAAAATGATTCACAATATAAAGTTTAACGGAGTATTTTGTTTCCTTTTCGAAGAGATAGACCATTTCAAGAGAATGTGAAATAAATGTTTTTCATTTTCCCAAGTAAAGCTCAAGAGTTTCACAATAGCAGTTTACGAAAATCTTTCCCCTGGTGTGATGATAGCCTGCTGTAATTGTTTAGATGGATCTTCTTTGACATTAATCTAATTAAATTCTTTTATCATCCACTCAACCAAATGTATGTGTCTGAGAAGCATGTCGTGTTTCTTTTAGGATTGTGGAGAAAGGATATTATAGTGAGCGAGATGCTGCAGATGCTGTTAAACAAATCCTGGAGGCAGTGGCTGTAAGTAAGGACCGGCATTTCCCACCTGCGTAAGCTTCCATGTGTCTTCCCTCACAGCGAGCACGTAAGAAGTGCAGCTCTGCGATAAGGCGTAAAATGGACATCAAAAATGTATTGAGGGCTGGGAAGGTGGCTCAGTGGTAGAGTGCTTGCCTTGCATGCCCGAGGCCCTGGGTTCGATTCCTCAGCACCACATAAGCAAAAAGAAAAAAGCCGGAAGTGGTGCTGTGGCTCAAGTGGTAGAGGGCTAGCCTTGAGCTGAAGAGCTGAGGGACAGCGCCCAGGCCCAGAGTTCAGGCCCCATGACCGGACCCAAAAAAAAAAAAAAAATGTATTGAATACTTACAGGAAGATACGCTTCATAAAATTATATTGATGAGTATATTTTATAACTTATGTACGTTTATTTTTATTCGACTCTGAAAGATGCAGCCCACCTAAACTAATGCTGTTTGTTTAAAATATTATCATGAGGTCCTATTAGACTTCAGTCTCTTTCCTGTCTCTTTCTCTTAGCTCTCTCTTTCACATTTTGTGAGGTTGTTTTCTCTATTATTATTGTTGCTTCTTAGTTTGGTGGGGAACTGGAGGAAGATTGAATGAATGAGATAACTATAAGCCTCTGAGCATAGAGTTTATTGACTTTTTTCTTTCAAGACAAGAAATGAGTGACTTAGAAGGAAAATTGTGTAGCCATTTTATTTTGTCCTAGGAAGAAATATAAATTAAGATTGTGCACGGAAATATGAATTAAATTGCATTGTATAAACTGATGATGGAAACAAATGTACACATATTGATGAGCGTATAATTTTGAGAGGTTTGTTTGGATTTCAGGTAATATCCTGTCTAGATAAAACAGACTACATATATTCAATGAGGTATAGTACATAGAAATTAATTTGCTGAATATAAAGCCAGAGACAGATTACGTACTGAACAAACACAACAAAACCTAAAGAAAGATGTGTATCAGAATCAGAACAATCCATAAAGACCAGAATTAAGATATATGCTATTATTCAGAGTTAGTTATCTAATCATTATTAAGTACTTTAGAAATCAGCTAATGTGCTACAAGTGTCCTACTAATTTTACCCCACAAGAAAGAAATGGCATAGGCATTAACATTCAACTTAATGGAAAGATTAAGTGAGATACTATATGGAAGCCATAGCAATGTTCCAGAAAGGGAAAAGAGGAGATCTATCTTCATTCATTTAAATATGTATTACATGTTACTAAATCTATTTGAATATAGAATAACTGATGACACATGCAACTCCAGTTTGTGAAAAAGTTTTAAAGAGAAATGTGCTGAGCATTGAGAAATTCTGCTAGGTGAGGGTGCGGGGGTTGCAGTTTACCCAACTGGGTTGATATAGCCTCTTGATCCTAGTTCTATCGCATACTGTTGTCTAGCAGACAGTTTGTTATTTTTTTTCTGGGACAAGTGCACACTTTGTCCTGGTACCCTGTGAGCCAGTGGGAAAGGAATGTGGTAGAGACTTATCTACCCCTAGCCACTACACCCTTCTTACCCTCTTGTACTGGTAAAATATTATTTCAGAGTGGAGTCATTGTTTCATCTGGGTGCTAATCACAGACTGTGACGTCAGGATGGGTTACTGTGAGGATACAGAGGTATGTGAAGAACCCAGCCAAACAGGCAAACAGGAAGGTAGCAGTCAGGACTCCTTCCTTCACCCATTGCTGAGTTTTTCTCATCGCTCTTCCAGCCAAACTCCACCTCACAGACTCAGAAAGTGACATGGGCTCAATTGGAATGCCCTGCATTAACACACTTCCGTGAAAACTCAACTTAGGTTTTTTCCTCAGATACCACAAATAGAAATACCACTTAATTCCTCCTTTCAAGATAGAAGCTACCTTTGGCTCTAATGAAAGCCAGGCATCCTTTTCTAGTTCAGCCCTACTTTGGAGCAGGGTAAGAGTATACAGGTTCCCTCTTGGTTCTTCATCTCACTATTTTTTTTGTTCCTCTTGTAATCACTGCCTTACTTATGTAACCGTAACCCCTCTGTACATCACCTTGACAATAAAACTTACAACAAGTGTAATAGAGCTATAAAACATAAAACTGAGATCAGGAAATGGATAATAAAGATAAAAGGTTTTTTAAAAAAGGATACAGGGCCCACAAGGCTAGCTCTGATTGCAGGGGGGAGGGTGGTTGTTTTGGGGGACAGGGCAGTTATTTCTCTAAGTAAAACTGACATACTAAGAGATACACTTTTTACTACTGTCTGTCCTGATACTTTTAAAAAACACTAGACTTAGCCGGGCGCTGGTGGCTCACGCCTGTAATCCTAGCTACTCAGGAGGCTGAGATCTGAGGATCACGGTTCAAAGCCAGCCCTGGCAGGAGAGACCGTGAGACGTTTATCTCCAATAAACCACCAGAAAACCGGAAGTGGCGCTGTAGCTCAAGTGGTAGAGCGCTCGCCTTGAGCTGAAGAGCTGAGGGACAGTGCCCAGGCCCAGAGTTCAAGCCCCACGACTGACCAAAAAAAAAAAACAAAACTCTAGACTTTTTTCACATTCCTTTCCATTCCCATATTTTTGATAGTCAGTTGTTTGTTGTAAAAGCATGATTCCCCCTTTGAAGATGATTTACTTGGGCCAGAAACCCTATTTGTTTGTCATGTATGAATTAACTTCTCTATAACCAATGTTAGTCATGATTCACATTCCCTCATTTCTTGTCTTTGCACTTCAAACTGTTTTACTGTAGATATATGTAATGTAATGTGTCTCCGATTCAACACCCTCAAGCTTTCTATCTACCACACAACAGTTGTTAAAATCCTAGAGTTTATCCCTCTACATGTCCTCAAATGCTAGTAATCCCCTCAACAAGTCTTGACTTACCTCCAAATTATAACACAAATTGGACTATTTTCTTCATTTTCACTAAATCCTAATATAGTTCGCCATCATCCCATTTGACTGCAACATCTTCTAAATGGACAACCTACTTCTGCCACTCAATGCCTTTTCCCTCACATCATCCCAAATTTTTATTTAAATCATAAATCAATGATGTCATGTCTATGTTTACAACCATCAATGACATCCCACTGAAAGTAAAACAAAGTCAGAATTCCTTCACATAGCCTATAATACCTTACCTAGTTCAGGTTCCTTCCAGACATCTCAGTTTCACTGCATACCATTTTCTTGGTTTCCTTTCCTGGATTTGAGCCAGGACTCTGAGGACTCTACATTAGTTCCATTCTTGGGATGGTGTTTTTTTCCTGTGCCTGGGACACTCTTTCATCATGTCCTTAGGGTCTTACTTTCTCACTTCTTTCAGGGCTCTGCTGAATTGTCATCTGCCTAGAATACCCTTCCATGACCCCTCTACCTAAAGTCATGCCCAACACTGCCTCTCCAAATCACTTCTTAAGTTCACTGCCATGCACACTTAAAATCACTTGGAATTTTATGTTGTTTTCTCAGATTCCATAAAACCACCATCTAATTCCAAAAACGTAGTAAACATATTTTTCTCCCTTATATCCCCAGTGCCTAAGAAAATATCTGCTTATAGTAGATGCTTAATAAATATTTACGGACAACTTTAGTGAAAACACCATCAACCCACTCCAAAAGAGCCAACATTCTACTTCCTATTTCTAGATGGTGATACATCCTATTTCTTATTTCACTTGAAACAAAGCAATATGTCTTGCTTCTGTGCTTGCAATGGTTTTCCTGTTCCCTCATTATCCTTAGATTCTAGTCCTGTCCTTCAAACCCCGTGTTCCTCAGTATCTTCTTTTTGGTTGCTTTCATCCATTTAGATAAGTTTTTGCTCTTTGGGTTATCACAGTGAGTATATTCCGATTCACTGATACCCTAGGTAGCTGACAGAGGAAAATGTTCAGCAAGAACAGTGGATGTTCTCAAAATTTTCCACTTATTGGAATTACAGCAACTAAGAAAAAGAGGCTAGAGTAATGGTGCCCTTTGTAGGGTTGCCTCACATAGAACAAAGAGTATAGAGTTTCTAGAACTCTATTCCAGGTTTTCAAGGATAAAGTCATTATTGCTAATTGTGGGTGTATATATTATGTGTATATACACCTATAATAGACACATATATATTATTTTACCTCCTCTCAGCACTTTAAGAACTAGATTACAAGGGGCTGGGAAGGTGGCTCAGTGGTAGAGCGCTTGCCTTGCATGCATGAGGCCCTGGGTTCGATTCCTCAGCACCACATAAGCAAAAAGAAAAAGCCGGAAGTGGCGCTGTGACTCAAGTGGTAGAGCGCTAGCCTTGAACTGAAGAGCTGAAGGACAGCGCCCAGGCCCAGAGTTCAGGCCCCATGACCGGGCCCCCCAAAAAAAGAACTAGACTACCACATTTGAGTCAAATACTTTGTAAGACAAACTTTATTTTAAAAAATCATAGTTTCTCACTGCAACTGAGAATTCCCATAAAGAAAGAAAAAATTGAAATCTACTCCCTAAGTGTTTCACAGGTAGAAAGCAAAGCAATTTAAAACTTGTGAGGAGTGGCTGGCATTTACAAAATAGTTTACTGTTAACAACAGAGTTATAGATAGTTATAAAAAAAAAATGGGACAGTTGGGAGCTCAAAGCAATTGGTGATGCAGCTCACATTCTTTCCAGATCACATAGTTACAAGATGATACCTAAGCTGGCAATTGAAAGTACAGAAGCAGAAAACATAAAGACTGAAAAGTTGGGGGACAATAAGTTACAGATGCAATTATATCCCTTATGTAACATGTCTTGCAGTCCTTCCCTCTGTATCCCCTGCTCCATTCTGACTCTTTCCCCCATACATTTTGCAACAGTTCTTAACTGTAAATTTGCTACTTTTGCTTTGAAAGCCTAATTTAGTAGCATCTGTGCACCTTTTTAAAGTAAATGTGAAAGATGCGTCAACCTTTTGAATTTGAAATTATTCAGTTTGCCTTTGAAGGCAAATTTAAATCTTCCTGAGT